TGCAATGTTTTCTGGACAAACTGTGGAATAAATAGTACCTTGCTATACAGATATGACAATTCTTGACCCCAGTCAAACATAAAAACATCCAATTCAGTGAATTTAAAAATACACTCTTAGTTATTCTTTTTTTTTGAGTTGGAGTCTCACTCTGTCACCCAGACTGGAGTGCAGTGGCTGCTTCCGGCCACCGCAGCCTCAACCTGCTGGGCTCCGGCGATACTTCCGCCTCAGCCTTCCAAGTAGCCAGAATTACAGGAATGCGCTACCACGCCTAGCTGATTTTTCGATTTATTGTGGAGATGAGGTCTCACTGCCCAGGCGGTTCTCGAACCCGCAGGCTCAGGCAATCCACTCACCTCAGCCTCCCAAAGGCACAGGATTACAACTCTTGGCTATTCTTTAGAGAAGGTGTCTATTACTAACCAAAATACTTGGCATACCCCTTTTAATATGGTTAACCATCATATAACAACATCCAGGCTTAAATAAATAACCTAACTCCTTGGAACAACAGGAGCATTGTGCTATATTTTCTGCATTTCTCAGTATTTCATTATTACAGGGACTTTCTATTTTCAAAATCATAGGCCAACCTAAGTATATATATATGCAAACTGTATAAAATCATTACAAGTGAGAATGGGTCGGTCGGGTGTGGTGGCTCAAGCCTGCAATCCCAGCACTTTGGGAGGCCGAGGTGAGGGGACTGCCTGAGCCCAGGGGTTCGAGACCAGCCTGGGCCACTTGATGAGAACTCGTCTCTACAATAAGTGAAAAAAATCAGCTAGGTGTGGTGGCGTGCGCCTAAACCCTGCAGGATGACAATGGGGTGGCCATGAGTGTGCCTCTGCACTCCAGCCTGGGCGACGCAGTGAGACTTTAACTCAAAAAAGAAAAAAAAAATTCCTAATGATGTGACACAGCCATAGGGAACAAATATGTCCTTCTTTAAACTATGACAAAAGTCAAAACAAAGAAATGGAAATGTTAAGAGGAGGATAAATCCATAAATTATGCTAACTTCGCTATTTCAGAAGCCTATCCACTGTGCCACCTGCCTCTCTGACCAAGAATTCCAGCTACTTGGAAGGCTGAGGCGGCAAGATCACCGGAGCCCAGCAGGTCGAGGCTGCGGTGGCCAGGAGCAGCCACTGCACTCCAGTCTGGGCGACAGAGTGAGACTCCAACTCAAGAAAAAAAAAAAAAAGAAAGAAAGAAAAGTAACCGTCTTCTATCTGTAATGCTAAGAAACAGACTGCAGTCAAAGATGTCACAAAACTAGCAAATGAACAGCTAATGAAAGACATGAACTAGGTTAGGAATGAAACAGAAAAGTTCACAATGTTAAAACTGTTAGAAACTTGGTTCTTCATGTAATACCTGATGTATCATTGGCAAAAATGTCACATGTATGTTGCCACCTTGAAAACTAAAATGAGTTCTGTCCGTGTCACATCACAGAGAATTAAAAGACGGAACTGGAAAAGTTTGACAACTCGAAGAGGACTGAACTGGCTGGCATCTATGCATCTTTATCTATGAAAATATTCCTCACAGACTTAAAAAGAGTGATAGAGGCAGCAAAAAAATTAGTCCACTTCTTTTAAAATATAGTAATCCCTCCTTATTCTCTGTCTCACTTTCTGTGGTCACCAGAGTCAGAAAACGATGTTACAATAAGATATCTGAAGAGAAAGACACCACATTACATACATTTAACTGCAGTATATTGTTACCGTTGCTCTATTTTATTATTACTATTAGTTGTTGTTAAGCTCTTACTATGCCTAAAGTATATATTTAACTTTATCATAGCTATGCATGCATGGGAAAAAACAGCACATTTAAAAGGTGGTACTATCTGTGGCTTCAGGCATCCACTTGGAGATCTTAAAACATATCCCCCTCAGATGAGGGGGGGCTACTGTAAATATAAAATGATCATTCAAATTGTTAAAAACTGAATTCTTTAAAGTTATCCTTTGCAATCGATTGACATACCTGATCTGAGCTGAAAGAATGGCAAGCAATAGATAGAATACTTCCCTTCTGTTTCTAGCAGGTATTTTCAATTTTAAATATGGTTTTTAAAAAAGGAGTCCTCTTTCAAGACCTTAGACCAGAATGTCTGTGCTGATTAGCTGAGCTGGCTAGACCACAGTGCCAAGGACAGAGTTTCAATCTCACCCTTATCAGTTGTGCTGCCAGAGATTGTTCTCTTAGACCAAGCCAGCCATTTGACAGATGAAAGCCACTGGCCCCCAGGAATACAAGCCATACAGTGGTGACTGGTACAAATCTTAAACAGCACTGGAAAAATTAAGTGGGTGTCCTACTGCATCATTCCCATACACAGAAAACCATATATTCCCTTTCTCTTCTTTTTGAGTCAGAGTTTCACTCTGTTTTCCAGGCTGGAAGGCAGTGACACGATCACGGCTCACCATAGCCTCGACCTCCTGGGCTCAGGTGATCCTTCCACCTCAAGCTTCCCAAGTAGCTGGGACTACAGGTGTGAGTCACCATGTCTGGCTAATTTTTTTATTTCTTGTAGAGACACAGTCTCACTATGATGCCTAGGCTGGTCTCAAACTCCTGGACTCAAGCAATCCTCCCGCCTTGGCCTCCCAAAGTGCTGGGACTACAGGTGTGAGCCACTGAGCCTAGCATATTCCATCTTTCTTAGGAGTTGCTTTTCATCTAGTAATACCTACGAGGTTTAAAAATATTTTCAGAGAAAAATAATTTTAGCAAATAGAATTTATTATATTAGAATTCACTGACATTTGTCCTTCACTTCATTCAAGTGTCACCTTATCAGAGAATTCCTTGTACTTGCTACCTCCTTGGTCTGCTTGCTTTTCCTCTTAGTACTTTCCACTAACTGAAAACTTATTTATTCGGTGTCTGTCTTTCTCAACTAGAATGTGAGCTGCCTAAGAGAGCAAGGACTTGGCTTGGTGTGTGCTCCTGGTATTTCTCCAGGGCCTGGCACACACGTGTCTGCTGAACAAACTAATGAATTTTGTCACATATTAAGTGTAATCCATGAACACCTTTAACAGGACATCAAGAAATAGTAGATTATTCATAAACCCTGAACATATTGCTAACTAGTGAGCCAGAATGTGTTTGTTTGTTTGTTTGTTTGTGTGTTTGTTGTCTATAGACAGCATCCTATATGCCAAAAAATTTTGAGACTTTTGCCGTGGCTCTTCCAAGTTTCGAAGGTGCTCAAATCTTCACCACTCATTTCCAAGGGATCAATCATTGTGGGTGATAAATATTTAATTACTAAACTGAGACTGGCTGTTCGCCTCAATCTAAGTAATAAAATCTAAAACTATCAGAACCAGTAAGTTTTTCTTGGTCAGATTAGAAATAAATATCAGAGGGAAAAAAATGGAATAAAAATATGCCTATAAATTAAGGCTTTAATAATGGAAATAAACTAAAATTTAAATGCATACTGCACAGATTACACCTATACCTTCCCATACCCTCCCAACGCTGAACTTAAAAATTACTGACTAGCCGGGCTCGGTGGCTCAGCCTGTAATCCCGCGCCTTTGGGAGGCTGAGGTGAGTGAATTGCCTGAGCCCGCGGGTTCGAGACCCGCCTGGGCAGCGAGACCGA